GCTTCAAGAATATGTAAATTCAACCGCATGTATAGGTTCATAGGTGCCTTTTTCTGGATGGGGTCGTACAGCTCTCACCTGATACTTCAGAGGTCAGCAGCCAAGCACCACTGATCTAGAACAGGAGTTGGCAAACTTTCGGCAAAGGTCCAAATAATAAATATTCAGGGTTTTGTGGGTTATACCTTTTCTGTCACAACTACTTAACGCTGACATTGTAATGTGACAGCAGCCACAGACAGTGAATAAATGAATGGATGCATCGGCATATTAATAAAACTTGATGTTTAAAAACTAGCTATCGCCAGATTTGACTGGAGGGCCCATCATCATTTGCCCTGATGCAGAAAGACCCTCCTGTGCAGGACTCCTGGGCACTCAGTGGGCACTTCTGTCTTGGTGCACAGCCCCATCCTCCAGATTCCCTGCCATCCACCTTGTTGCTTCCCCCTGGCTCCTCCAGCCATGGCTGGAGGTCTTATGGGATCTTCAAAAGTTGATTCCAGGAATATTAAATGAATGATAAAGGAAATTTAAAAGGAAAAAAGAATTACCTAATTATGGGGTTTTTTTTTCATATTTCCTTGGATGCTACGAGAACATTAGGTGCCCCCAACCGTGACCTGATTTTGTTTTGGTGTTTTGGGGGGCATTGCTTATCACTATTGTATTTAAATAAGTATTTGTGTACTTGTTAACATTTTCCTCACCAATTATGTGAGCTACATGAGGGTAGGAAAGATAATCATCTTGATCACAGCTGTATGTGTCTCCTAGCCTAGTACAAAGCCTGACACAAGTACTTAATAAATATTGGTTGAAAGAATGAATACATATATTTTTACGTAGTTGTAATTACAGCAGGTACAACTGCTTATCCTCCTTTTTGTAAACATTATATCGAATTTCTACAAGGCTAAATGATTATCATTTTTAATGGCCACATACACCAGACCATGGGCAGACCTACCACAGACTGTTTAAACCCACTTTCCTACTGAGCAGTGAACTGCCTGCAATGATTCATAATTATAAAGCATGCTGTCAAATGCCTTTTCCACATATTTATGGATCATTCCTTAAATACACTCCTAGGAATCTACCTTGGTCACAGGGCAGGGGCATCTCAAAGGCTAATGAAATACACCACCCCAGAGCTTCAAAAGGACAGTGCCTTGTCACTACCCTCCCTAATGAATGGGGACACTGGTGTTATCACAACTTCAACATTACATATCATTGTTTAAAAACTGTTGCCGGGCTTCCCTGGTGGCGCAGTGGTTGAGAATCTGCCTGCTAATGCAGGGGACACGGGTTCGAGCCCTGGTCTGGGAGGATCCCACATGCCGCGGAGCAACTAGGACCGTGAGCCACAACTACTGAGCCTGTGCATCTGGAGCCTGGGTGACCTCCAGCTGGAGGGAATGGCCAAACTATTGTTCGCAGCTTTGCAGGAAGCTGTTTGAAAGGGTCATTGAAAAATGATCTTACTAAATCAAGCTGTACCAATATTTTTATTTCCTTTCATGCAATGCCGTGTTTAAAGGCATTAGATGGGGTCTGTTTATAAAGCCTGGGAAACAAGCCTATGTGACTTAAGTTCAGAAAAACAAAAGCGTCCTGCTCTTAAAGCACAGAGAACAGAGAGAGTAGGGTGGCATGCATCTGTCTCAGAGCAAGCCTTTGCTCTTGGTGTCTAATGGATATCTGATCAAAAAAGCACATCAAATCCAAAACACTTTTTCAAGGAAATGTCACATATCCTGACATTTATGCATAATAAGCCACCTTCTCAAGGTTCTAACAGATTTTTAGAAAAAGAAGCAATTATTAATTGTATGGTTTATAACATTTTTTTAGTAAATGACAAATCACTGTCACTTGTCTGGGAAATGGCTTTATGTGGTGTTGGTGGAGAAGAGACATTCAGAGACTTGACCTCCCAGGTGTCCCCAGTCTCCACCCCAATCAATGGCACCTGAATTAAAACAAAGAGCATTTGAAGAGGTTAAAAACTGGGACTCTACTGATCTATGTATGGGGTTCACTGGGCAGGTGTTCACCATTCTCCTCTCCCTGCAGGTGAAACACAGAAGCCCCCAAACCAGTAAGGATCACTGGAGCAAGGAGCAGAGAAAAATCTAGAAAACAGAGCATGAAAAGGAGAATTTTCCCCTCTTCACAGTGTGATCAAGGACCAATTGTGAAACCCAAGACTTTTAGAGGAAGGCACCACAGAAGGAATAGAAAGCAGTTTTATGGGTAACGAAAGGGGCCCAGGCCTCCGAGGAAGGCCCTCTGCCAGGTCCAACAGCCAAACAGAGGCGAGGTTGGGAGGGGACCCCGGCACTTCTACAACAGACTCTGTGCACTGCAGAAACCCAGAAAGCCTCGGCACTTCCAAAAATGGACAGGCTCTCTACCTAAAGCCAAGGAAAGCACAAGTCAGGCAAATGGCTGGTAATTTTTAACTGAAACGCTAAGATCACAATAACAATGTCTAATATTAGGGAGAAAAAGCACTACGAGTCTTATTGTCTAGGAGACTCCAAAACACTGCTGCTGCCTTTTAGCCTTTTATATTATGTTTTACATAATATAAATATTTTACTGGTCAGGTTGAACCTGCAAGTAGCTGTGAGGGAAATGACCCCTTCAGAATAGCTTCCCTCTTATAAGAGAAAGATTATCTGTCTAGAAGTGACCAGTCCTACCATGGTGGGACCTCAGGAGTTTAGTAATTGCAACACCCGAAAGCACGGTGCTATTTGAAGCCCAGCTGCAAAGACAGTTAAAGAGGTGTGAGGTTTGCAGGATGTGTGTTTAACTGAGGTCATTCTTGCTGGCTCTACCTATTAAGTTAAATGAGACTATTTTCTTAATGAAAGGAAGAAGCAGGCAAACTAAAGGTAAAATCTGGGTTCTTACCAAATATCATACGGTATCACTTATACGTGGAATCTAAAAAATGATACAAATTAACTTATTTATAAAACAGAAACAGACTCACAGACATATGGTTACCAAAGCAGAAGAGGGGGATGGATAAATTAGGAGTTTGGGATTAACAGATACACACTACTATCTGTAAAACAGATAATCAACAAGGACCTACTGTATAGCACAGGGAACTATATTCAATATCTTGTATAACCTATAATGGAAAAGTCTGAAAAAGAAGAGGTATATATATATATGAATAACTGAATCATTTTGCTGTACACCTGAAACTAACACAACACTGTAAGTCAACTATACTTTAATTAAAAAAAAAAAAAAAAAAAAGAACGGAAAAAACAAAAAAAACCCCAAGAAAACAAAAAAAAACTGGGTTCTTACAAATAGACTTATGGTGTTTACTTCACTTTTGGTGTGAAAAAAAGGAGCTTGATTGGCCACAAAAGCAAAAAGCTGACACCTCAGAGGTTCTCTGTGAAGATGGTCTAGTCAACAGCAGAGATGGTGATAGTAAATGTTACTCCTCAGGGAGAACTTCTTAGACTTTGGTGCACAAGAATCACCTGGGGTCTTGTGAGAATGCAAACTGAATCAGGAGGTCTGGGTAGGGGCTGGGACTCTGCGTTTCTAACAAGCTTACGATGCTACTGGTCTGCAGACCACACTTTGAGTAGCAAAGCTCTACGGTCCACAAAGATCTTTCCTTGTGGTTCTTTAACTAGTCAGGGTGGATGAGAATTGAGGAGTAAAACAATTACTTGTAGTGAACACTGAGAAGAGAATTGGTTTTGGAGGAGTAACTTTTTAAAAGTTTCAAAAACATACAAAGAATCTTCATATATAGTAACCTGGACTTAGTATGTTTTCATGGCTGGATTAAAGAATTACCATGAGTAATTAAGAATTAATATGAGTGGAGTGCTTTGGCATTTAGAAAGCCCATCCACTGCACCGACTCATTTGGTTCTCATGTCACCTCTCTGAGGTCAGGCAGGCAGCCCCACCCTTGTCCTACCTGTGTTACCAACGAGGCTGGAGGGACGTTAAATTCAGAGCCAGAGCTCAGACACCTCACACCTCCCCCTCCCCCCACCACCACTGCTTGGTGCTTAAAGACTTTATTTGCTTTAGTGCCAACCAGCAGATGGACCACTAATCCGAACATTTTAAATTCTATAAATAAGATAATATTGTTTGGGTGCTTATCTCTCTAACCATTTTCTTCTACGTTAACCTTATAGATTCCAATTAACGCCCATAGCCACATACTGGGGAAGAGTCCTGAGCCACCCAGGGGAGCAGCTTGGTATGAGTTGGGAGGCCCGTGGGGTGGCACTTCGGCCTCCTCGGCACCTGCCCAGCCTGCTTTTTGGAGCCCACCACACAGACCTTGAACCCATAACTGGCAAAAGATCCCCAGCTGAGTACTTGACTTGAACGTAGAAAACCGAGACACACTGGATAGCTCCTTCCAGGGCTTAGGTGGGAGGGAGTTTCCCAGTCCTCAGAAGTAGTCCCCACAGGGGCTCAAACTCATGAACTAGCCTATTAAACAGAAAAAGCGTTGGTTTTGGAAATGAAACTATGGGGCTCAAATCCTTACTCTGCCACTTAGGTAATTTTCCTCTGGCAAGTTCCCTAACCTTGCTGCCTCAATTCTACCATCCATAAGCCCAGATAAGAACACACACAAGCAGAGATGGAGGGAAGCACAGCATCTGGCATGTGGGTGGCGTCCTGTGTGCGGTATTTCCAGGCACAGAAAGCCTGCTCCAGAGCTTGGCCCACAGCAGGGCGAGCCTCTGCTTTCACTCAATTCTGAAAGAGCCAAGCAAGAAAGAGTTTGCAAGTGTTAATGGCCTATGAGCAATGTGGGGCGTTTTCATTAAAATTTTGCAAGGTTCACTGACTGTTAAGAACACAAAATAACAGACCAACTCTGCTATAAATGCTGTCTCTGGTGACAGGGAGTTGAGTTTTTCCTGTGTGTGGCACTCTGCTCTAAGTTTGTAAATCTGGGGTAAGAGGAACAAAATATTTACCTTTTCCAGGGCCTCTCTGTCAAGTAGTTCTTGCACAGCTAGCAGCTTGATGCTGTAAGAAAAAATTAAAACCACACTTAAAAACAAAACATTTTATATCACCAAGCATCAGACAAGTCACAGGAACAAAAGTCTGAAATTTTAGCCTGCATTTCTGCATCACCTCCCACCTCAAGGTAACCTTTGGTTTGAACTGAAATGACCATTTGAGAACTATTAAAAATGTTTCTAAGTTGTAAAAGTGATTTTACCATGTGATCCAGCAATTCCACTTCCGGGCATATACCCAGAAGAGTCGAAAACAGGGACTCAAACAGTTATTTGCACACCCATGTTCATGGCAGCATTGTTCACAAGAGCCAAAAGGTGAAAACAATTTAAATGTCCATCAATGGATGAATGGATAAACAAAATATGGTACACATTTTATATATGATGAAATATTATTCAGCCTTAAAAAGAAGGAACTTCTGGGACTTCCCTGGTGACGCAGTGGTTGAGAGTCCACCTGCCGATGCAGGGGACACGGGTTCGTGCCCCGGTCCGGGAAGATCCCACATGCCCGCGGAGCGGCTGGGCCCGTGAGCCATGGCTGCTGAGCCTGCGCGTCTGGAGCCTGTGCTCCGCAACGGGAGAGGCCACAACAGTGAGAAGCCCGCGTACCGCAAAAAAAAAAAAAACAAAAAAAGCAAAACAAAAAACAAGAAGGAATTTCTGGCACATGCTATGACACAGAGGAACCTTGAAGGCATTATGCTAAATGAAATAAGCCAGACACAAGAGGACAAATATGACTCCACTTATATGAAGTACCTAGACTAGTCAAACCCAAAGAGACAGATAGTAGAATAGTGGTTGTCAGGGGCTGTGGGAGGGAGGAATGGGGAGTTATTATTTAACGGGTATGGAGTTTCTGTTTGGGAAAAAATTCTGTAGTTGGTGGTAATGGTGGCACAACAATGTGAATGTACTTAATGTCACTGAATTGTATACTTACTAATGGTTGAAATAGTAAATTTTATGTTACGCACATTTCACCACAAAAATTTCTAAAAGTAATTGATAGTTGTTTATGTAAGCAACCTGAATAAATTCAGAGGAATATAAAGAAGAAAATAGTTGCCCACGTTCAGCATTAATCTTCCCTTGATGTCCCTTTGATGAAAACAAACAAATAGCTTAAATCACTCCTTATGAAGAGGGTCTGATCAGCTGCTCATTTGTTACCGTACATGGATTGAGCCCTACTGTGTGCAGGTAGTCGAGGGCACCTGATGACTATGACCTGCTCCCTGCCCACGAGGAGCTCACAGCCTCTTGGAGGCCACAGTCAGAGCAGAAGAGGACCAGTAGGGTGCCGAGTGGACTTTCTGGGGCACAGAGGGGAGCCCAGCCCGACCAAGGTCAGAGGTGGCTTCCCGCAGGAGGGGCCGGGTTAGCCTTGCCAGGGGAGGGGACTGGGGAGAAAGGTGACCCGCAGGGAGACAGCGGGGGCAAAGGCACCAAGGGGAGAGAAAGGGCTCGAGTGTATACAACTCATCAGTTTCCAGTTTAGGGGCCAGAGTCCAGACTGCAGCGGCAGCTCAAGTGAGGGAATTCAGGCGTGCGAGCAGGTTTTACAGGGGAGGTATTTTCCCTTTTGTGACAAATTGCTTTTGAAGTGTTTGCGGACGCAGTGAGCAGGCAGCCAAGGCTGGACAGGCCAGCACGCAGGAGGAAGCAGGAGCTCAGCGAGACTGTTTAGGGGTGGGTCAGCTGTCGATGGTGTCATCGTGTTCCTTCCCCACCCAGCTAATCTGCTTGTGGTCGCTGGTCACTGTGTCCCCACCAACCTGCACAGGTTCTCTGAAGCAGAAATGGGCCCCATCTGTACCACACACCTCCATCAAAAGGGGTTATTCCCATGATAAGATTCACCTCCATCTACAGAATTCTTCAAAATCTCTCTGCACAGCTAAGCAAGCACTGTCCAACCAAATGCAAAGGTTTACTTTAAAGCAACTTCAGCAAGTGCAATAAAGGTTTTCAAGGCCTACAGGAAACCACCACCACTACCAACAACAATTTAGCCGGCATCAGAGCTAATGGACAGGACCCTGGGCATTCCCTCTTCTCCAATCAGTGACTTTCCTTCGTCTCTTGGACGGGTTTGCTTTTGTTGTTTCTCTGGCTTGGAACAGTCTTCCCCAAGATCTTGACAACACCGACTGCATCCTATTGCATCATTTCAGTCTAAGTGCAAATGCTGCCTCTTCCAAGCAGCATCCCTGGTCACCAGGTTCGTTTTTGGTTTTTTTTTTTTTTTTCAGTGCACTTACTGGTACCTTAAAACATTTGTTAGGGTGCTTTTGTCTGTTTCCTCCCAACCAGCACTGGAAGCTCTTTGACGCTGGGAGCTCAAGGGTCTTCTCACTAGATCTGCAGTGTCTATAACTGACACAGGAAGGACAGTCAGGAATATATACTTGCCGCCAGGCAGGGCCCAGGGGCTTAGAGGCCAAGTCGCTGTCAGTGTGGACAGCTAAAATCACTGGCAAGCCTCAGTTTCTCCACCTGAAAAGGAAGGCCTCCAGTGAGATGACTGTGTGTATCTTCCCCAGGGTGAACGGTGCTATGTGCATTTGTAGAAATGTCTGCCAGGATGTGTCTGGTGGCAGGTCAAAGCTATTGGCTATCAGTGCACTCTGATTCCCAGTGCACACCTCTAGATCCCAGGTTATCAATTTGGACAGCAAGTTATAGGCTAAGGAGACTCCAGTTGTAGATCAAGTTTCAGAAGCTTAAATTACTTCTGAAATAACCACTGGAAAATATTTTTACTGGAGGAATTTTTAAAATAGTCTCTCATTCCTGCCCTTCTCTATGGTCATGAAGCCCAGTTTAGGATCAGGTATCAGATATCGACAGGTTAGAGAAAAGGTTTAAACACGGTTAATACACTCAACTCTCTTCTCCCTATTCGCAAAGATACTACATTCAAACCACTGTAGAACATGATCTGAAAACCAACAGTTTGAGGCTTTGAATGAAGACGAAATTAAAACAACTTCAGTTGACTCTTCTTAGTCAAAACCTGAAGGATATTAGTCCCTGCTCTCACCAGTTTACCTTCCTCTTGAACGGCAATGGCAAACACTTGGCATGTACACGCTCCGATCCTCTTTACCTCTTTCCACAGAACTCACCCCCTTTTAACCTAGATACAGCTTCAGAATCTTTCTGAACTCTCCAGTGAACCACAACCAATCTACTCAAGTTGACATGTGAGATTAAACCAATTTAACTTCTGCTCTAAAACCAATACCAAACAGGGTTCATGTATTGGGTAGGGGCAGAAAAAAAATAGAAACCTTTTCACACTACTAAAACCCAGCAACACAAAGGAGAAAAGATGGAGAAAAGAGGATAGGACACTCAAATCTAGATGGTTTGAGTTTCAAAATGGAAACAATACATGTTAAACAGGAGTTACTCCAACAGCTGCTCATAACATTGGATTTCTTCAGGAAGTTGTGGTTTTTTCCTCCTTAGAGCTATAATCTTTAAAAGTATTCGAGATGTTTCCTGTTATATAGCTATCCTACTGTTAGTTCTTACCTTATTGGAAACTCTTCAAGTCTGGAGTATTTATTTCAGTATTGATGGTATCAGATTCTTCTAGCACATCAGATACCCCCTGGGAGGAAATTTCACACACACGAAGACGCAACGAGCCCATTTCCCAAATCCTCCATTCGACACCTCTAACTTCTTACCCTGGAAGGGAATCTCATATCTCAGTTTCGACTTTGCTCCCCCTTCCCTCCCTTCCTTTTCTCCATTTCTCCCTCCTTCCTTCCCTCTTTCTGTCCTTTTGCTAATTCCACAAATATATACTGGCACCAGACACCAGGAAAACAAAGATGAATGCAATATGGTCCCTGCCCTCAAAGGGCTCACAGGGGCTAGGATGCTGCTAGGGCACAAGCCCAGGGAGGTATGTCTCTCTGAGACTCTCCTGGGTTCCAACGTGGACCAGCAGAGCTGAGCTAAACAGGGCATGTCTCTCGGGTGGCCTGGTGCTTGGTCAGCATCCTTTGAAAGCAGCAGGGCTCCCATCAGATGGGAGCTGCAATTTCTTTTTTGCACTTGACTTTGAGAAGACAGGCAAATCACACAAAAGCAGCTGACAGCCGTGATTTATTTAGAAAAATGGCCATTTCAAGGCCAAGTTCTGAAGTCAAGATGGGCAACACTTAGAAGGACCTAGAATGCATGCAATTAATGTTTGCTAAGTAAGCTACAAGGAGGTGAGGCGCTTGAGGGCAGATGTCTTATTCAGCTGGATAGTGGCTAGCACAGTGAGGTCTGTAACGTAATTTGAAGTGGTGATGGGGAAGGTGCCAGGCAGACACTGACAGCAGGGAAGAAAAGCAGCAAAGTTAAAGGGACAGAAGACGGAGGGCACCTCTGCAGCCTGGGGGTGGCTTAGAGCTGCAGACTGAATGATCCTCAGGGACCCCTGAAAAGGCAGATAAAATGTAACTCTCTTGGTGTAGCAAAAGCACTTAAAGAGTAAACTCCCAACTACACAGAAACTCACGCTTCCAGAACAGCTTATGAGCTACAGGGCACCAGAATCAAGAATTCACGCTCGCTCCCTTTCTCTGAGGATTCTGGCACTTTGAGTTTCCACTGCATTTATTATAGTATAGTGCATGAGATACAGCAGATTTCAATAAATGCAGAAAGGGTGTGATACAATGGAGCCACACATTCACTGCGCAGATAAGATATTTAAGGGCTATGTATTATGTACCAGGCACTATTGGATGTTGAGGATACGATGATGTACAACAATACAATGATACAATGCAGCCTCTGCCTTCAAACTTCTGAGTGTAAGGGAGGAACCAGGTAAGTAATACATGAGCCACGTGAGGAGCGCTCTCTAGAGGCAAACTCGGGGTGCTTTGAGGCCCTTTGCAAGAGCATAATAAAGCTGGGAGGCTTCCTGGGAAGTGACTGCTAAGCTGACACCTACGGGCTTACAAGGCAGAGAGGTGGGGTGGC